GTGTTTTTGAGAGAGATTAGGCAATTAGTCGGTTTATCCAAGTAGTCACGAAGTAGACTAGTAGAATCACCATCTATGGTTTGCTCTTTTAGAGTCAGGCTAAATTCCTAGATATACCAACATATTAATCAAGTTTACTATCAAGTTTTATGTGAGTTTTTATTTTTAGCAGACCCTTACACCGCAGCCATTCCGTGGCAAACAAGCTAAATTAAAATTTTTACTTTTGGAAAAAAATAGAGTTAAAGTTTGAATGTTCGGAACTTTGCAATAAATTGTCATACATTTTGAAATTTTTGCAGGATTGTGTATCTATAGATATTGTGATTATATGTAAAATTTTAATTACAACTATTCCATTGCAAAGTTATTAGTGATAATTACAGATACGTTGTTTTGCCTCAGAAACATGTCAGTCTCAGAATTGTTGCAAGTAAGACATATTTTTGGATTTTATCATATTTGGGGCAACCATATGCATTACCTAGCTTGTTTATACGTCGTTGTTAAGATTATTAATATAAAAACACCAATAACCATTTGATTTTGCTTTGCCAAACTCCATCAGCTCAAGACAATTTTTGAATACCATTCGGAGGCAAAACAACGCATCTTCATTGTAGATACTTTGTTTTGCCCTGTAATCTTGTAGTTACGTTGTTTTACCACGGAAAATCACTAAATAGGTTTTGTGTTTAAAGATTGCTGGTGCTTTCTCCGAAACGACTATTTATTGAGACCTGAAATTTTCACAAACAATTCAAACGTGTTTAATATACTCTCAAATGACCTCAAATTCGACAAAAACGTCAGTTACGTTGTTTAGCCTAGGGATGGCCGACCTGCTACTATGGGTAATCAATTAAAGTATTTCAAAGTAAAAGATTTGTGGAAACATTTTTTGTTGTAGTTTGTGTATAACCACCCCTTTTCCACCCTTTTTCCCCCAGTTTCTAAATATTCAAAAATCTGTATCTCATTTAATATCTGTTTTTCGACAAATATGCTTTGTGTATCTTAGAAAATTCAGTTTTACAACATATACCAAAGTTTTTTTTTACGGAGCCTGTCTTTAAATGCTTGCGGTACACCACATAGATACGTAGTACTGAAAAGAACTGTTGTTTTTGTTAAGAATGTCTCAATGTTTAAATTGCGCTACTTTCAATATCATCAGGAGAAATAAATTTTGGAGTAAATACAAATTAAGACTTCATGAGGAGTTAATTTAAATGTATTCACATTAAGCTGAATATTTAATGACAAAAAATTGACAAGTGAAACTTAACAGCATTATCTAATGTTGTCTGAGAAAGTAAAGATCATAAAACCCTCAGATGACCTCTCCTGAAGGAAGTTTCAAAGTAACAGATAAGCATGAAAGATTAATGTCTCTAATTGGTCAAAAAGATTCATGCCACTTATTGGTTGATCGTGTCACATGATCTACAAAGATTTTAGGAATCTGATAGTAGTGTAGAGTAACACTGGAAATTCTGTTTTGGAGAACAAGGGTAATGTACAGTAAATGTAATAGTCATAAACAAAGCATATTGAAATGTAATTTCCCACAAAAATAGAAAATGATTTGAATTAAAGGGAATAACAAATATTTCTGATCTCATAAAACAATTCCAAGTATTATTACCCCTGTGGATACTAAATCTATCGATTGGCATAAGAATGCCAATGATTGGCTGAAAGTTTTTTTGACCTCTGACCTTTAAAAACAATTCACAACTATATTTTGTTTTGTGGCAATTGTTTAATATCAACCTGAAAATGATTTTATTACATTCACTTTAATTCATTCATTTTTTTCATTAAATTTTATTTATTTATTCCTCCAATCTAACATCATTCATTTATCCAACCACTCATTTCTTGCTTAATTTATTTATTTATTTGTTCATTCATTTATTCATTCATTCATTCATTTTGTGTTGTATTTAAACAATAATACTGCACTTCGTACAAACTAAATTGTGTCAATTTAGATAGAAATGTTTGAAAATGTTTTAAAATAGATATTATTAATCTAGATAATTAGTATAATGAAAATAATAGAATATTTATCTTAGAAGAACAGGCATCATTTAATAGTTACATCATAATTAGCCTCAATTTAATCTGAAGTAAAACTCTGTTCTCACTATCAAATTTTAAGTGACAAAATTGTGTCATAAGTCCATATATGGGCATGATGATGTATTGTCATATTATACTCAAATATGAACATATCACATTTTTCTGTCTCATCAAATTGGCTGGTATGGACAGAGCTCGACAACATTAACATAAACTAGAAGTGTTCCTCTTGCGCTGTGCAGTAAAAGCATAGCCTCCCCACATTATGATTTTTCTTTGAGAATTGATGATATGAGTATAGTAGAAACCAATCAGTCTTACCAAACTTTAGTCATCGTGGTAACAAACAATTTTCTACACCAGTGACAATGACAACAACATGAAGAATATTACAATTTCAACTAAATTAAAAGTGTTTATCGGAATTATGATGATGGTTTGGTAAATTTCCTCATTGATGAAATTATTATTAATTACGCAATTAGCATAATCACACACGTACCAATAACAACAGACTCTGTATTGCATTCCTTGAAATTTGAAACTTTACCAAACTTTATAGCGTAAATTTCTTGATCGATTAAATATTAATTATGCAAATGAGCAATCAGCATATTCACACATATACCAAAAACAAAAGGTTGTCGCTTTATCACTATATTGCATTGTTTAAAGTTTGAAATCAGACTTACCAAACTTCAGTTATCGTGGTAAATAGTCTTGAAATTACCTGATAAGAGAAATAATAATTATGCAAATGAGCATTTAGCATATTCACACATGTACAAAAAAAAATGAAGCTACAGCTTCTTATTATTTATCTTACATACTGCCAGGTTTGAAACTAATTGGACTTACCAAACTTTAGTTATCGTGGTAACTAGCATATAATACCTGATTAGTGAAATATTTTGGGAGGCTAATAATATACATCAAAATTAACACTAAGAAAGAAATTATAAATTTAAGATATTACTGTAAGTAATATTATGAGGAATTAAATCGATTTATCAATAATATTGGTACATGACCATAAAACTTTAACTAACCTATACTGTTCAGAGAACTTTATTTTCATAAAAAATGGGTACACTATATATGACAAATATATTTCAAAGAAAAACGCAATGAAGATGTAAATGTATTACAGAAATTACGATTATGCTTTAAGGACGACTGATTTCTGAAGACATTCAATATTAGAACAACGTAATCAAGCCAAGAAAAAGCAACAACTACGATATAGCCGAATATAATGGGAATTGTGACATCATCTAAATAGCACCCCAGAGTAATCACAAACGGGTTAATGGGCGCATACACCAGTGCAGATTGCGTGAAATCTGATATGATACGAAAAACTCATTAAAGTACAAATTGCAGATTTCCATGTTGGTGACCTATTGGAAAACACAAAAATGACATCTAAGCGTATCAGTTACTACATGGTGTATAAAGCGTCAGATTTTCTTAAGAGCCTTTTTGAATTTTCTGTGCTTTATTAACAGAAAAAAAAAAATTTACATTGTATTAAGCCATGGAAGTGTATAGCTAAAAAAAACATAAAACAAAATTAAACTACTGTATGTAATTATTTGAATTAGAAAAGAAAACAATCAAAAGTCATAGAAAAATCAAGTTTTTTTTTCTAATAACTATACATTCACTAAGCCATGAAAGAAAATGAAAAAAAAAATTCTAATGCAGTCTGTTTCCCCATCGCTTGGAAAGCCACTTAGATACTAATTTTTTTTTTTACTTTTTGGCAATCCTGCCAGCTTTTTGGGAAAACATGAGACTACAGTACATTTTTTACTAATTTTATTGTCTTTTTGTATGTATTTATAAATAAGGTGAAATAAATGAAATGAAAAAAAAAGTTAAAAAACTCCTAAAAAATCAAACAAAATACAAAAGAAAAAAGAAATATATAAGAAAAATAAAACATCAAATCACTAAAAACAAATCAGTTTTGAAGTGGATTTTTAAAATTTGTTTTTGTATCTTTTACATCCATAGCAAGCACTTACCAATTACATGCATGGAACTATGGTATGTGATGCTCTATTAAATAAACTACATTACTATGCGTGATGGTGTTGTTTCCCATCCTCATAAGAAAATAAATATTGTGTATGACAGAATTGAGCCTGGATCCTTTGGTTGGAAGGCAATCGTTATTTGTAAAGTTAAAGCAAATTTTTTTTTTTTTGTTTAATCTTAAAAATTCTTCTTGTTAATGTTTTTGTTTGTTTTGACAATTAGTCCAGAGAGTGCATACTGTACTATACAGTAAACAGTAATGAGCTATAGACAATCACCAATATAATTTCCGTATTTCATGAATGAAAACATATATAACAATCTACCTGTAGAAGAAAACAATCAAAAGTCATAGAAAAATCAAGGTTTTTTTTCTAATAACTATACATTCACTAAGCCATGAAAGAAAATGAAAAAAAAAAAAATTCTAATGCAGTCTGTTTCCCCATCGCTTGGAAAGCCACTTAGATACTAATTTTTTTTTTTTTTTTTGGCAATCCTGCCACCTTTTTGGGAAAACAGTACATTTTTTACTCATTTTATTGTCTTTTTGTATATATTTTTGAATAAAGTAAAATAAATGAAATGAAAAAAAAAAGTTAAAAAAACTCCTAAAAAATCAAACAAAATACAAAAGGAAAAAGAAATATATAAGAAAAATAAAACATCAAATCACTAAAAACAAATCAGTTTTGAAGTGGATTTTTAAAATTTGTTTTTGTATCTTTTACATCCATAGCAAGCACTTACCAATTACATGCATGGAACTATGGTATGTGATGCTCTATTAAACTAAACTACATTACTATGCGTGATGGTGTTGTTTCCAACCCATAAGAAAATAAATATTGTGTATGACAGAATTGGGCCTGGACCCTTGGGTTGGAAGGCAATCATTATTTGTAAAGTTAAAGCAAACTTTTCTTTTGTTTAATCTTAAAAATTCTTCTTGTTAATGTTTTTGTTTGTTTTGACAATTAGTCCAGAGAATGCATACTGTACAGTAAACAGTAATGAGCTATAGACAATCACCAATATCATTTCCGTATGATGAAAACATATATAACAATCTACCTGTAGATTGATCTACTAAGATTAAATATCCCAATATAGATCGTGCATATATATTCAGTATGTGCGTATCAATTGTATAAACTTTCCGCAAGGTTTAATTAATTTGGGTGCAGACAGTAATTTTTGGAAGAAATATTCCAAGAACATTAAGCTGTATAGTGCCACTTGTATCATATTTTGTCTCATGTGACTCATTATTAGTTTCCTTGTTACTCAATAAATCGGTGTTTGATTTCTCATAAAAATGAATCAAATAAAAACAATAATTATGGTAATTAATAAAAAAGATTGTCATTATTGTTTTCAAATTCTTAACTGGTAAAAAAATTGGAAAATGCATCGACTCATGTCATAAGTAAATACGTGCACAGTGGCCACCTTAATTGGATGCCATCCAACAAAAGTTACCGTGCATCCATACACGAGAGCTTACTCATCAAGAATTTTATGTTTGCGGCTAACATTTTGAAGAAAACTCCTAAACAATTCAATTTAAAAATCAATTAATTCCATTTACTACACATTGTTTTACCATTTTTAACTGAAAAATAATCAATAAATTCCCCAACTCATATCCTAGAAGCAAGGAATATTAATTGGTATAATGGATGACACAAAAGAAAATTTGTAATTACATCTTCGGTAAAGCCCTGTCCAGACTATCAAATTTTGTTTAACAAAAACATGTGACATGCCTAAATATGGTCATGACATCACACCATGACCATATATAGGCACATCATGACTATACATAGGCATACAGATTTTTTTTGTCAATTGAAATTTGATAGTCTGCACATAGGTTTACAGAAGATGTATTACAGCTTTTTCTATCCATTATACCAATTAATGGATTACTCATCTAGAATTTTATATTTGCATTAAAAATTGGAAAACAATCAACATTTAAATTAAAACACTGAATTACTCATTTTAAAGGATTAAGCAATCAATTTCCAATGAGGAAAATGATTAAAACCATAATTCAATATTGTACCACTTTTCATTCTAAAAAAACTTAAAAATTAATTATTTTCAAATTCATGCATCAAAAATTTTGCCAGATAAAATTTGGAAAAATCCCAAGAATTTAATTAAAACCCTGAACTACTCATTTTAAAGGATTAAATAAGCTACAGTATCAATTCCCAATGAGGCAAAGATCAAATGAATATTTTAATATTCATTTCAACTATTCATTCCAAAAATCCTTAAAAGTAATTATTATTATATGACTGTTAATCAATTCTGTCTTATGAATGATGTTTGCCATACCTGTACGTGTTATCGTACTGAATGTTCAGTCCCGTTCCCAAATACTTGTGAAAAAAATAATCACCAATTGATTTGGGTAGGAATCGAACCCATGACCTCCAGATAACTAGCATGGTGCCTTAAACAACTATACCAAGCTTGCGAAGTGATGAATTCGATCTCTAACTTTCAATTGAGAGACACTAATTACTAACTCAGTAATTTTTGCGCATTGAACAGTTTTAATTGAAAATGCGCTACAGAAGTTATTATCATCATTATTATTAACATTTACTACTACAAATTTAATTCCAAATGCCTATTTTCATTAAATGCATTAATCTCAACACAGTGTATCCTCTGGCATGCCATGCAAAATATTATACAGACAACACTCCTACTGTACATCTAGTTGTGAAAACCTAGAGTAAAAGGATTATTTAATGGATTGACGTTGACATTTTTTCCGATACAAAACAGATTACAAAATAATCTGACCTAATAAAATCTGGGATTACTAAAGAATCTCTAAAATCTTGTATGATATTTTAATCAATTTAAGGCCAAGTGAAAAAAAAAAAGATTGTTTCTCTTTCTGTGAATCTTTTAGAAAGAGGGAAATATGTACAATTTCCAGTATTCCATGTTCTAAACTCAGTTTGCTGATACCACAAAATATATTTCTTAATTTGGCCAATAGATGTTAAAAGGGAAATAGAAAGACGATTTTTTTTTTCTAGAGGGGATTTTTAATATGTCACTAGTATTATAGAATCAACTTTAAAATCATATTTTTGGCAATTTTTTATGAAGCTATAGGCCATTACGATTTTGTCCCTTCAGTAATGTTATAGCTATTGTAACCAAAGATTGTATAGCGCCGCACGAGTTTTGGTCACAGTACCTTACACCGACGTCACGCTGCTAAAGGGTTAAATAGTAATAGCTAAATAAAAAATTGCCAAAAAACAATTTTAAAATTGATTCTATTACTGACATATTAAAAATTCCCCTAAAAAGTATCATCTTTCTAGTTCTCTTTTAGAGAGTTTGCCTGCACCTCAATACCATTTGTATGTGATAGAATGAATATGTTGAAGCGTATATTCTGTACAGGCATTCTATTAATGGGTATGTGTAGGTATGTATGTGGGAGTGTGTAGGTATGTAATGTGGGTGTGTGTAACTGTACAGTTACTGCAGGAATTGTATATGTGTACAAACGTACATGTGGAAAATTTTCAATCGGAGTTGACAGACACTCATAATTCATCCAGGATCATTATGACAGCTGTACAGAAAGGGAAATGAAAATATTTTGTCAGTTTCGAACGTCAATCATTTAATTTTCGAATTATTT